GGCGGCCAAAGTCACTGGACTGGCACAAGAAACGGCTTATCCTCAGTGAGTGGGAAGGATGAATGATCCTATCAGTTAGCTCTAGGGCTGTGTGTGTGTGTGTGTGTGTGTGTGTGTGTGTGTGTGCGTAGAGTAGGGGACATCCTGCCAGGAGGCTACAAATTGAGCGATGTGACCTCCAGTGGTCACAAGCCAGCTCTCTCAGCACCACCCCCAACTTGGCCCAAGCCTCAGAACGAACGAGGGAAGACAAGAACATCAGAGGATCAGCGGCTACTATTTCCCAAGCGCTTACTTTAACAGGCCAGGCTTGGAACAGGCTCTCCATGGAGGGTTTTAAGTCTAGTCACCCACAGAACCCTCAAGGCAAGCACTGTTTATCTCAATGATGGGGAAACTGGGGCTCCAAAAGGTAATCAAGCCTACCGAGGTCACTGAGTAAATGGCCAAGCTGGGATATGACCTCAGCTCTGGGGGACCCCAAGGCTTGGCATTTACCTGCAGGAAAGTCAAAAGCAGCCTCTGCTGCCCCGACTGAGGAAGAGTGGCAGGTACCAGGTAATGACATCCACCCCAAGACAGCTTCACTCCAGGAATGGATCGAGATCCAGCCCAACCATACCCCATCCTTCCTCCTGGCACGACCCAGGGCTGAATGCGAGAAGCCTCCACCTCTTCTCTGTGATGACAAGACCATGGCAATGTCCCCCCACCACGTGGACACTCCTAATGTCGTCCCAACCTGGGAAAGTCACCTCTCCTGCCCTGTAACCTTGGGCAGTAACCTCCTCGTTCCACCCCCACCAGGGCACTCACAACCTCTCAGCTTGGATGCCCACGCTTTCCATCCCGGACACCTTCTCCCCTGCCCTGAACCACCCCGTAAATGACTCTAGCCTGAGCACCCTTCATGCCGCCTTGACCCCAGCAATGTCCCCTCTGCCCAGTCTCGGTTCATTCCACACCGGTGGGACATCTCAGCAGTCTGACCAGGACCGGCACTGAGCACTCCCACGCTGGACCTCAGCAATACCCCCTTCTTCAGAATCTGCTCTTTCCATCCCAGACAATTCCTTGCGCATGCCCTGGTCAGGCACCCTCCTCTCTTGCCCCGACTCCCGGAATATCCCTGAGGGTCGTCCAGGTGCCCACTGCCGCCGCCTTCCACAGCCCGCGCACCCGGTCCTTCCATCCCGGTACTTGCCCAGCGCGGGTCCAGTACCTGCGCCCCTGCTCCGATCTCTGCAATGTTCCAGGCCCGGCATCTTCCCACTGACCGGGTACCTTCCGTTCCACCTCTCGCGCCGCCCACGGCCCGAGTACCTGCTCTTTCCAACGCTGGCCCTTCTAGTCCGGCTGAGCTGGGACACCTGCAACCCTACCCAGTTCCCCGCTCAGGGACGGCTCCCGCCCGCTGCAAGCCTCAGTCCCGGACCTTGCCGCGCCGCCCGCCTGCTCCGCGGGCTCAGCCCGGACCGCCGCCACTCACCCAGGATCCCATCGCTGCGGAAGGACAGCGTCTCCTTCTCCGGCGCCCGCGCAACCAACCTCGGGGCCACGGGAGGCGTGGCCTCACGCAGGGCCAACCTTTCTTTGGCCAATGAGTGTCGCCGAACTCCTCTGCACCGCCCCGGCCTCTGTGCAATTGGGTGGGTCACGTGACCAATATTGTCTTACCCTCCCTTCTCCCTCTGTTCCGCCCCCTAAGTGCGGTTGAGGCGCGGAAGTGATTTTTTTTCTCTCCTGTGATTGGCCATCGAGATTAGATTGACCCGGGTGGCTGAGTGAGGCGGGGCCACTCTTAAAGGGATGAGGCGGAGCAAACAGGTTTCGAAGGCGCTTTGTGGAAGGAATTGCCGGTGGTCTGAGCTCTCACCTTTGGTTCCTCTGCCTCCACTGGTGCCCACACGGACAAGTTCTTCCCGCCCTTCGAGCGCCCACTTTCCAACGCCACCGCCTCTAACTTCCTACAGCATTCTCCTAAGCACTTCCACTCTCCACTTTCTGAGGTTGTTTGCAGAAGTGCCAAGCCTCCCGTACGAGACGTTGTCTCCCTAAGAGTTGGCGTCAAGTGATTCGGTTCACTGTGCCTTGCACTAAACACTGGGTTTGGAATCAGGCCTCCCTGAGTTGGAATCAAGTTCTGCCACATCAGCCTTGTGGGGTTTACTCAGTTTACCCCTCTGTAAAATGGGAATGGAATTCTTGCCTTGCCTGAGTAACGGGGCTTTGGTGCTGATCATAAGAAAACAGTGTGGCAGCCCTTTCATAACCAAAGAACTGGACACATCTAAGTTTTTTTAGTGTAATTATCAGTGAGGTCACATTCTTTCATTCATCAACAACTAATATTTCTGTGTGCCAGCCCTTTGGCTGGACTTGGGAGTGCAGTGGTGGACAAGATACATATAATTAAGATACTTAATTACAATCTTATGTGATATTGCTCTAATGGTGGAAACTCAGGAATATGGAGATTCCCAGGGACACCTGCCCTCCCATGGGAAGGTGAGAGACTCCCGAAAGAAAGTGGTGTCCAAACAGAAACCTAAGGATGACTAAGAGTCAACTGGGCAGAGAGAAGGGGAAGGAGTGTTCAGGAACAGCATGGGCTGTGTGGTCCAGAGGCAAGAGCGAACTTGGCATGTTGTTTGTTTTTTTTTTTTTTTGGTCATACCCCACATCATGCGGGATCTTGATTCCCTGACCAGGGATCGAACCTGTGCCCCCTGCAGTGGAAGCACAGAGTCTTAACCACTGGACCACCAGGGAAGTCCCCAAACCTGGCATCTTTGACTCAAGGTGGCAGAGAGAGAGGAGCGTGGTAGCTGATGAGCCAAGGAAGTGGCAGCCAGAGCAAAGGAGAGCAGGCTCCACCATTGAACTGCCTGCGTCTGGGGCCAAATCCACTGCTTCCTCCCCTGTGTCCTTGGGCAAATCACTTAACTTCTCTAAACCTTAGCTTCCTAAAATGAGGAGAATGATGGTTTCTGAGCTTTTGCGAGGACCTTAAGTGATTATTCACTTAAAAGTGCTCAGTGCTGGGCCTGGCGTGGTCTTAGGACCTTTTGGCCATTGCTATTAGAAAAACTGCAATAGCCAAGTAGAAAGCTAGATAAATCGATGCAACATACGGACTGGGACAGCTAAAAGATCGGGAGTAACTAGGACCTACTGTCTCTCTCTCTCTCTCTCTCTCTTTCTCCTTTACCCTGCTGTTTTTCTTCCCAGGATCTGACCTGTTATATATCTGTTGATCCAAGAGGGGAAGAGCCTTGTTTTGTTCACTGCTGCATCCATGGCACCTAGAACAGCCCCTGGCACATAGTTGGTGCCGATAAGGTCTTTCTCCTTGACCAAACCAGAGTCAGGCTCCTGTGAGCCAGCCCTCTGCTTGACTAGGTGCAACCTTGAGTTTCCATCTTGTAGAGTCCAGTTTTAACAAGAATTCTGCAGGGTCAGTTTAGTAAAATCCCCAACCCTGGGTATCTGATCACCCTCCATGTTTGATCAAATTCTTCACCCTCCATCCTCAATATCTTATCCCCCTAGCCTGCCCTCCGCAAGAATCTCACTAGCCTTGATGTTCCCACTTAGTCATTTTCCATCCCCTGACATCCCCACTCTGCTCATTGTCTATAAATCTCCACTTGTCCTTGTTGTATTTGGAGTTGAGACCAATCTCTCTCCCCTACTGCAACACCCGCCCCCCCCGCACTAGGCTCTCTTGAATAAAGTCTTCCTTACAGTCCTTAACAAGTATCATGAATGTTTTTTTCTTTAACCTTGCTCAATGTGGTTATTGAATGAATGAACATGTAACTACATTGATTTATGGCTCTTGAAAGATAATATGATTGTATGCTGGCTAAATAAATGATATAGTTAGCTACAGACAGACACTGGTAAATAAGTCAGTGATCAATACAAATAGAAATACGTACTGAACACATAGAAACACACAAGGAAACACATAGAGATGATGAACTGCAGGTGTGTGAGTGACACAAAAGTTGATGATGGCTCCATGTAGATAATGCAGATCAGTAGTTCTGAACCTGTGGTGCACATTTAAGTCACCTGGAAGCTTTTCAAGACTCCACCTGCCGGGCTCCACCTGAACTGAGAGAACCAGGGCTGGGAGTGGGCCCAGGGATTTTTTCATAAACCTCCAGATGACTTGAAACTCACTCTGGACAGACAGGCTGGGGTTGAAGATGGGGAGCTGGTATAAGTGCAGGGAGATAATCGAAGCCAGGAATCCAGGGGACAGAGCCAGAGAGGAAAGGGTACCAGTTCAGGAACAGAACTCTCCACTGGGTAAGAAGATGAAGTCTAGACGTAGAGAGCGGGGAGCAGTGGAAACAGGTAATAAGCCCCTGCCAAGCCCCATGGGAGGGGGGGAAATGTATGTGCAGGCCATCCTTTTGCCTGTTTGGGGCTGTGAGAAGCTGGTTCAAGGTCAGCACATGTCCAGGCCTGGAGGGAAGCACGTTCCTCCACCTGGGCTGAACGGAAGCCCCTCTTTCTCTTCTCCTTCCTTCCCCTTAACTCCTGCACACACCCTCACCCAACTTTGGAGAACCAGAGGGTTTCCGGGGGCCAAACAGCCATTCCCCAGCGGTGGAGGACCAGTCCCCAGCTGGCCTATCCCCTGGCTCAATTGTCCTTAGTGTCACCAAGGTTGGGGCAGAAGAGGAGGGGGGGCTAGAGAGGTCAAGGTGGTGGTGATGGTCGACACAGAAAGATCCAGGTCAAAAGACGCCGAGAAATAGGGAGCCAGAGGGCCCAGCAGGCCAGGAGGATGCGAATCGACCAAGGGAAGAGGCACAAACGGGCGGGGGCCATAGGACGAGGAAGCGAGAGGCCGGCCCGGCGGCGGCCGCAGGTGGCAGCCGCGAGCAGCCTCAAGCCGGGCCCCCTCCGCCCCGCCCCGCCCCGCCCCCCGGAGGCTCCTCCCCCGCGGCCGGTGCCCCTCCCTGCGCGCTCGGGCAAGCTTGACGGAGGCGGCTGGGGCTGGGCCAGGGGGGCGCGCTAAGAGCCAAAGCACCGGCAGCAGGTGGGCGCGGTGCGGGCTGGCGGCGGCGGGCCAGGGGCTGCCGGGCGGCGCACGGGCCGGACGTGGCCGGCCGTGCGGAGCGCCATGGACTTCAACATGAAGAAGCTGGCGTCGGACGCGGGCATCTTCTTCACCCGGGCCGTGCAGGTGAGGCCGTACACCCTGGGCCCCGCGCGGCCGGCGGGCACCCCTGCAGCAGAGCCCGGGGCCGCGGGAGAAGGCCCTCGCGGCCGCCGCTCCTTCCCCGCTGCGAAGTCGCCCTAGCCGACCCCCCAGCCCCTCCTTCTTTTGCGGTGCCCAGTAGAGAGAAAGAGCCCGGGGCGGCCGGCCACACTGGCCGCACCCTCAGCGTGGCCCAGGCCTGGGGAGTGAGCCGGGCCTGCCTCGGCCCTGCTGCCGCGGGGGAGGTGTCAGCCTCCACCATTTCGACCCGCCGGCCGGGTAGTCCCGCTGTCCTGGCGCCCGCCCCGCCCCCGGTGGGGGGCTCCGCTGAGGAGGGCAGAGGGCCCCAGGCGGTTCCTGTCTCCTTGCCCTTGCCCAGCGGTGACTCTGACTCCCGGCAGGCGTTGGGAGGCCTGAGTTTCAGGCCTAAGGACTCGTGCACCCGCCCTGACCCCTTCTCTGAGCCTCAGTCTCCGCACCTGTGCAATGGACTGGTGGTACTGATTCCCTCAGGTCCCTTTTACACGCTTCGATAGTCCGGAAGCCAGGAGGGCTGGGGTTATTTACTTTCTGCTCCGTGGGAGGCCTGTTTCTCTTATTTCCCCAGGCCCCGGGGGCTGGCTGGATGCCCTCCTTGGGAAGCTGTACAGTGGGTGATGCTGGGATTAGAACAAGTCCTATCCATTTGGGGACAAGGGAAAAAACAGAAGCAGCTGAGTGTAACGGTGAAGACCGGGAGTCAGCTGTGGGTGTGGAGGCCCCTCTAGTGACTTTGAAGACAGGGGCGTCACCTCTCTGGGCCACAGTTTTTCAGTCTGAAAAATGGCCTTAGCAGTCCCTCCCTCCCAGCATGGATGTGAGTGTCCCAGGCATTCCCCGTGAACATGCTCACTAAAGGCAAGTCATTCTTGGTGTAACGTGGTTAGTATTGCAGCTGTGCAGCATGTGATGTTAGGCAAGTCTCGGAGCCTCCGTGTTCCCTTCTGTCAATCAGGGGTCGCACCAGTCTGCCTCCCAGGGTGGCTGCTGCCTTGGGGCTTGGCCCGTCACAGCGCTCTGGGAACAGATTCTGTTGTTTGTCCTTGCCCTGGTTGTTGGTTCTCTGGAGGAGCCCAGCCCCAGACAGTCTCTTAGAAGCCCACACGCCCATGTTTACTAGAAAGCACAGTGTCCCGTTGAGGATTTGCGCCCCAGAGAGGGTTTGCTGCTCTGTGTTCGAAGCCCTGCCGTGGACCCCAGCCCTAGTGGGGATGCTAGCAGCCTGGAGTTCATTGGCCAGCCCCTGTCCATTCAGAAGGTAGAGAATTCTCCCCAGTGTCGGTATGGCAACCACTTTATCTCCCACATCTGGGAAGAACCTGATCTGCCAGTTTCCTGCTACTTTGGGGCCCTAGCACCTGACCTGGCCAGGCCTGCAGAGCCTGGGGTATGGGGAAGCTTGGTCCCTGTGGCCTCTTTTCTCCTGGGGGTGGGCAGGCCCACTGGTTCGCCCATACTGGAGTGGGAGCCAGCGCCCAGGCCCCCGCCTCCAGAGTGGAGGAGGGAGCTGGGAGCTTTATAAATAGAGGCTTTCTCTGGCCCTGCACGCCCACCCCCTGCTGCTGCCATCTTGCAGGGAGCAGCCTCTGAAGCCGGGGCCCTTCCTCTTGGCAGGGATGGGGCGGGGTGGCAGCCAGAAGAGAGAAGGGCTTGAAATGTCACCTGGGCAGGAGAGCACACTCGGGACCCTCCTAAGGCCAGTCTGCCCTGGAGTAGGAGTCAGCCAGGAGGGATGGGGGTGGTTTATTATTAACGTGTGGGCAGCTCCTCTGCGTAGGTGCCACCTACCTACGCATGACATGCTGGGTAAGCGCTCAGCCCCTCCATGTGTTGAGGACACTTCTAGGAGCCTCACCTCATCCCCATCCGGTAGGGAACTGGACCTTGGCCCTGGGATAAGAATCCAGAGGCCAGATCCCTTTTGCATGGGAGATTCTAGGATGGCTTCTCAGTCCCTGAACTGTGCCTTGAAGGTCAGGAGGGGTTTGCCGAGTTGGTCCAGGTGATGGGAACAGCCCAGCTAAGGGCACCGAGACAGGAAAACCTACGGCATGTTTGGGTAAGATGCCAGTGGGGGTGGGAGTGGGCAGTGGAAGTGCTAGTACTAATGCTGTTGGTAGTAATTGCAGTATTACTAATAGCAGTGGTAGGAGTAATGATAATAAAAGCCAGGGAGGCTGTGGCCTCGTTCTCATCCGAGCCAGGCAGGCAGCGGTGAACGTGGGAAGGATGCCCAAGATGTTGGGAAAGCCCGGTGGGACTTTGAACCTGGGTGGGTGTGTCGTGTGAGGGACGAGTGGCCAGGTGGCACGGCGGGGAGTGCTGCCATTAACCTTGGAAAGAAGGGGAGATGCTGAGGTGCACACTGAGGGTGACACAATCGCCTGAATCATACTGGCTGGTGCCAGCAGGGTAAGGATGTCCCTAGGTGGCTCCTGAGAGTCAAGGAGGGACCTGAGGGGGACCTTTTATTGACGATGATGATGACGCCAGCTGACGTTTATCAGGCCTATACTGTGTGCTGACCACGAAACTAAGCACCTTCCAAATATTCTGTGAGATAGGTCCTGTTATCCCCATCCTCCGGGGGGAAACTGAGGACCAGAGAGGTGACTTTGACCCTGACCCTCGATTTTCTCATCTGCAAAATGGGGTAATGCTAACCCCTGAAGGGTCTGGGTGAGGTGAGGCCTCTTCAGGGCCTGGCTCGGGGAGGCCCCAGCTTGGGGAATGTGACGAAGAAGAGGAGTCGGGAGACCGGGAGGAGGCCAGGAGCAGCTGGTTCCCAGGTGAGGAGCCGCAGGCTCTAACCCTGGCCCACCCAGCTCTGCAGAGGGAAACCCAAGCCCCCATGCATAATTGATGGCTGCCGAGCTGGAGCAGCCCGACAGGGCAGCCTGACCACCGGAGGTGCCTCCTGCCCCTTGCAGCTGGACCTGTCCTTGGCCTCTGGATGCCTCACCGCTGCCTAGTCATCTGGGAAGGGCCTCCACACCCCCAGCCTATGTGACTCCAGCACAGCCTGCCTCTTACTCAGTCTCAGCGGCATCTTCTGTGAAATGGGAAACTTGGCCGGCCTGAGGGCAGTGTCTGTTTTTGTCAGAGCTGATCTACTCCTGCAGGTCTTCACCCCTTTGCTGTTTGCCTGTGACCTCCCCTTGGCTGGACGGGGCCTTTGAGATCAGAGAGGCCAGGACTTGGGCCGGTTTCTGGTTTTTCTTAGGTGGCCCCCATGGTTTCTGCCAGCTCTGAAGGGGGACCCTTGTGACATCCTGGTCCTTTCCTGGCCTTGGGGCGGGGCTGCCGAGCTTTCTGGGCCCTGGGTGTGCCCAGCAGTTGGCTCTGATGAGCTGGCGCTGTTCCCCATCTACCACTCCAGGCAACCGGAGGCCAGCCATGTGGCCATCCTCCCCCGCCCTCCGCATTCCCCTTCCTTCGCAGCCATCTCTCTGTGCATCAGCTCTTAACAGCATCAGCTCTTACACTGAGCACTGCCTGCCGGCCAGATCCTAGCCTTCATGTCTTATCCACATCTTTTTTATTTCATTCTTACAACCTATGAGGGAGATGCTACTACTTATTATTACCATTTTCAGCTTAGGAAACTGATGCTCAGAGAGGCAAAGCCACTTGCCCAAGGTCACACAGCTCATCAGACTGAGACTTGAATCAAGTCCCTCTGATTCTGGAACCTGGGTTCCTCTGACTCCCTCCCTTGGTATCCCCTTCCTGTGGCTCCCAGCTGCCCCTGGAACATCCTGATAACCCCAGACCTTGCTCTGTGCCCCTTTTGTTCCCTGAGCACTTGTAACCAAGTGCTTTCCTTCAGAGTCAGGCTGGGGGGACCCTTAGTGGTAGGCTCCCAAGGGTTCCTTACACCCTAAGCTGTATGTCTGATTTTGATGTGCTTTTTTGGGGAGAGGGAGTCTGTATCTTTCATTGGATTTCCAAAAGGAGCCATTATCCCCAAACTCCGGTCCAACCACCTCATTTCACAGAGGAACAAACTGAGGCCCAGGGCAAGGTTGCACCTTGGTCAAGGTCACAGAGCAGGTCCGGGGCAGAGCAAGTTTCTTGACCTTGGGGCCTGAGTTCCAGCCAGGTGGGAGGAGTAGATGGGCGGGGCAGGGGTGCTCCTTCCGTCCCCCTTTCTGAGCCCTCCGCCCTGTGTGCTCTCCCCACAGTTTACAGAGGAGAAATTCGGCCAGGCCGAGAAGACCGAGCTTGATGCCCAGTTTGAGAACCTTCTGGCGCGGGCAGACAGCACCAAGAACTGGACGGAGAAAATCCTGAGGCAGACAGAGGTGTTGCTGCAACCCAACCCCAGTGAGTGGACATGGGCCGGCCCCGGGCTCGGGGCGGGAAGCAGCGGGCAGGAGCCCCAGCTGCTGAGACCGTGCAGGTGGGCCTGGGCGGCAGGTGGGATTTGGGTTAGACTCTTGGGGCTTAAGGCTGCTGTTTTGGGGGGTCCCACTTAAAGAAAACAGCAGACTCAGTGTTGGGCTCCAGGATGCGCTCTCTGGGACAGTGGAAATGCTAAGTGTCACACAGAGGAGTTGAAGAAATGCCTGGACACTAAAACACAGTTGGGAGAAGAGGCAGGAGAAACGGGAGCCAGGTCACTGGAGGGAAGGCAGCGAGGCTCAGGGATGAAAGAGGACTTGCCGAGAGTCACACGCAGCGTGGTGCAGGCAGACGCAGCTGCAGGAGAACCTGTGGGAAGAGAGGGGCTGGCTGGCCTGGGGTCGTGGGACTTGTCTGCCTGTATGTCTGCGGTTAGCTGATGAGTGTGCTGAGAGCTTTCTGGGGCCAGGCCAGGGCATTGCCCACGTGTGTGTTATGCCCTGCAAGTCCATAGTGTAAGGAGGGAGAAGCTGTGGGGCAGGAAGGGGTAGCACTTGCCTTCAGCTGTGTGACCTCGGGCGGGCATTTCACGTGTCTGAGCCGTGGCTTCTTCCTCTCTAGAGTGAGGGCTTCGCGGGGTCAAGTGCCAGTCTCACACAGTTGAGAATCAGCAAGAGAGTATTCTGGAAGTCACCAGGCTGGACGCCCCTGTGGGCAGGCCCTGGTCTGGATCTGTTTCTGTCACCATGACTTTCATCCTTGGGCTCCTACCGAAGAGCCCTGTGGCTTTGGCTGCCGTCTCCCCGCAGGTGCCCGAGTGGAGGAGTTCCTGTATGAGAAGCTGGACAGGAAGGTGCCCTCGAGGGTCACCAACGGGGAACTGCTGGCTCAGTACATGGCAGAGGCGGCCAGTGAGCTGGGGCCCACCACGCCGTACGGTGAGCCAGTCCTCACAGCCAGGGTCGGGGGTCACGGTCTCTGGCACGAATCTTCTTCCCTCCCTTCTCTCCTTCCTTTCTCTGTTTTTTAATTTGCACACATGATACCTGGATTCATTCTGCTTGTAAACACCTCAATCAATGGAGATGAAAATAGAGTAAAATATAGAAGCCTCCCGGGACTTCCCTGGTGGTCCAGTGCTTGAGACTGCGCTCCCAGTGCTGTGGGCACAGGTTTGATCCCCGGTCGGGGAACTAAGATCCCGCATGCCGCACAGTGCAGCCAAAAAACGAACAAAAAAAATTGAAACCTCCCTTACCCAGGTTTGGTTCGTGTGTATTTTTCAACGGGATCATGTTATGTGTACTGTTCTGCAACCTGATTTTTAAACTTGGCATTGCACTACAGATAATCTGTTCACAGCACTTAGAGAGTCACCTCAAGCTTTATTTTTTAAGTTTTATCTAGGTACAATTTATACACTATAAAGTACACCTGTTTTAAGTGTGTAATTTGATGATTTTTAGTGAATTTACAGAATTGAACAAACATCCCCCAATCCAATTTGTGTTTTTGAAATTTTATTTAATTAATTTTTTAATTGAAGTATAGTTGATTTACAATATCGTGTTAGTTTCAAGTGTACAGCACAGTGATTCAGTTATACACACACACACAACATAAATATATATTCCTTTTCAAATACTTCACTTTTAGGTTATTACAAAATATTGAGTGTAGTTCCCAGTGCTATACAGTGGGTCTTGTTGGTTATCTATTTTATATATAGTAGTGTGTATATGTTAATCCCAACCTCCTAATTTATCCCTCCTCCCACCCCCCCTTTCCCCTTTGGTAACCATAAATTTGTTTTCTGTGTCTCTGAGTCTGTTTCTGTCTTGTAAATTAGTTCATTTGTATCATTTTTTAAGATTCCACATATATGTGGTATCATATGATATTTGTGTTTCTCTGTCTGGCTTAACTTCACTTAGTATGATAATCTCTAGTTGTGTCCATGTTGCTGCAAATGGCATTATTTCATTCTTTTTTATGGCCGAGTACTATTCCATTGTATTTATATACCACATCTTCTTTATCCATTCACCTGTTGATCGACATTTAGGTTGCCTCAATGTCTTGGCTATTGTGAATAGTGCTGCAATGAACATTGGGGTGCATATAGCTTTTCCAATTATGGTTTTCTCTGGATATATACCCAGGAGGGGGATTGCAGGATCATATGGTAGCTCTGTTTTTACTTTTTAAAGGAACCTCCATACTGTTCTCCATTGTGGCTGCACCAGTTTACATTCCCACCAACCGTGTAGGAGGGTTCCCTTTTCTGCACACCCTCTCCAGCATTTATTATATGTAGACTTTTTGATGATAGTCATTCTGACTGGTGTGAGGAGATACCTCACTGTAGTTTTGATTTGCATTTCTGTAAAAATTAGCAATGTTGAGCATCTTTTCATGTACCTTTTGGCCATCTATATGTCTTCTTTGGAGAAGTGTCTATTTAGATCTTCTGCCCATTTTTTGATTGGGTTGCTTGTTTTTTTGATATTGAGCTGTATGAGCTGTTTGTATATTTTGGAGATTAATCCCTTGTTAGTTGCATCGTTTGCAAATATTTTCTCCCATCTTGTAGGTTGTCTTTTCGTTTTGTTTCCTTTGGTTTGGTTTCCTTTGCTAACCAAAAGCTTTTAAGTTTAATTCCCATTTGTTTATTTTTGTTCTTGTTTCCATTACTCTAACAGACGGATCCAAAAAGATACTGCTGCAATTTATGTCAAAGAGTGTCCTGCCTATGTTTTCCTCTAGGACTTTTTGTTTGTTTGTTTTTTATATATATTTTTGGCTGCGTTGGGTCTTCATTGTTGTGCGCAGGCTTTCTCCAGTTGTGGTGAGCGGGGGCCACTTTTCCTTCCTGTGCACAGGCTTATCATTGCAGTGGCTTCTCTTGTTGTGGAGCATGGGCTCTAGGTGCGCAGGCTTCAGTAGTTGTGGCACACAGGCTCAGTAGTTGTAGCTTGTGGGCTCTAGAGCACAGGCTCAGTAGCTGTGGCACGTGCACTTAGTTGCTCCGCGGCATGTGGGATCATCCCAGACCAGGGCTCGAACCCGTGTCTCCTGCATTGGCAGGCAGATTCTTAACCACTGTGCCACCAGGGAAGTCCCCCTCTAGGAGTTTTATAGTATCTGGTCTTACATTTAGTTCTTTAATCCATTTTGAGTTTATTTTTGTGCATGGTGTTAGAGAATTTCTAATTTCATTCTTTTAATTTAGCTGTCCAGTTTGCTCAGCACCACTTACTGAAGAGATTGTCTTTTCTCCATTGTATATTCTTGCCTCCATTGTCGTAGAGTAATTGACTGTAGGTGCATGGGTTTTATTTCTAGGCTTTCTGTCCTGTTCCATTGGTCTATATTTCTGTTTTTGTGCCAGTACCATACTGTTTTGATTACTGTAGCTTTGTAGTATAGTCTGAAGTCAGGGAACCTGATTCCTCCAGCTCCATTTTTCTTTCTCAAGATTGCTTTGGCTATTCAGGGTCTTTTGTATTTCCATATAAATTTAAAAATTTTTTGTTCTAGTTCTGTGAAAAATGCCATTGGTAATTTGATAAGGATTGCACTGAATCTGTAGGTTGCCTTGGATAGTATAGTCGTTTTGAGAATACTGATTCTTCCAATCCAAGAACACAGTATATCTTTCCATCTGTTCGTGTCATCTTTGGGTGTGTTTTTTTTGGCTGTGCCGCGTGGCTTGTGGGATCTTAGTTCCTAACCACTGGACCACCAGGGAATTCCCTCATCTTCCATTTCTTTCATCAGCATCTTATAATTTTCAGAGTACAGTTCTTTTGCTTCTTAGATAGCTTTTTTTTAGAAAAATAAATTTATTTATTTATCTTTTTTTTTTGGCTGCATTGGGTCTTTGCTGTTGTGCACAGGCTTCCTCTAGTTGTGGCTGCTCTTCATTGTGATGGCTTCTCTTGTTGCGGAGCACGGGCTCCAGGCACGCGGGCTTCATTAGTTGTGGCACGTGGGCTCAGTAGTTGTGGCTCGTGAGCTCCAGAGCGCAGGCTCAGCAGTTATGACGCACAGGCTTAGTTGTTCCGCGGCATGTGGGATCTTCCCAGACCAGAGCTCGAACCCATGTCCCCTGCATTAGCAGGCGGATTCCTAACCACTGCGCCACCAGGAAAGTCCTCCTTAGGTAGTTTTATTCCTAGGTATTTTTATTCTTTTTAATTTCTCTCTCTGGTCTTTCATTGTTAGTGTATAGAAATGCAACAGATTTCCGTTTATTAATTTTGTATCCTGCAACTTTATCGAATTCACTGATTAGCTCTAGTAGTTTTCTGGTGGCATCTTTAGGATTTTCTATGTACAGTATCATGTCATCTGCAAACAGTGAGAGTTTTACTTCTTCTTTTCCAATTTGGATTCTTTTATTTCTTTTTCTTCTCTGATTGCTGTGGCTAGGACTTCCAAAACTATGTTAAATAAAAGTGGCATGAGTGGACATCTTTTGTCTTGTTCCTGATCTTAGAGAAAATGCTTTTAGTTTGTTACCATTGAGTATGATGTTAGCTGTGGGTTTGTCATATATGGCCTTTATTATGTTGAGGTAGGTTCCCTCTATGCCCACTTTCTGGAGTGTTTTTATCATAAATGGATGTTGAATTTTATCAAAAGCTTTTTCTGCATCTATTGAGATGATCATATGGTTTTTATTCTTCAATTTGTTAATGTGGTGTATCACACTGATTGTTTTACGGACATTGAAAAATCCTTACAGGGACTTCCCTGGTGGTCCAGTGGGTAGGACTCGACGCTCCCAATGCAGGGTGCCCAGGTTCGATCCCTGGTCAAGGAACTAGATCCTGCATGCATGCCGCAACTAAGAGTCCGCACGCTGCAACTAAGAAGTCCACACACCACAACTAAGGAGCCCACACATTGCAACTGAGAGCCCACGTGCTGCAACTAAGACCTGGCGCAGCCAATATAAATAAATAAATATTGAAAAAAAGGAAGAAAAATCCCACTTGGTAATGGTGTATGATCCTTTTAATGTATTATTGGATTCAATTTGCTAGTATTTTGTTGAGGATTTTTGTGTCTATGTTCTTCAGTGATATTGGCCTGTAATTTTTTTTGTGTGGTATCTTTGTCGGTATTTGGTATCAGGGTGATGGTGGTCTCATAGAATGAGTTTGGTTCCTGCCTCTGCAATTTTTGGAATAGTTTCAGAAGGATAGGTGTTAACTCTTCTTTAAACATTTGATAGAATTTTCCTGTGAAGCCATCTGGTCCATCTGGACTTCTGTTTGTTGGAAGTTTTTAAATCAGAAATTGTATTTCAGTACTTGTAATTGGTCTGTTCATATTTCCTCTTTCTTCCTGGTTCAGTCTTGGGAGATTGTACCTTTTTAAGAATTTGTACGTTTCTTCTAGGTTGTCCATTTTAGTAGCATATAGTTGCTTGTAGTAGTTTCTTACAGTCCTTTGTACTTCTGTGGTGTTGGTTGCAGCTTCTTCCTTTTATTTCTATATTACTGATTTGGGTCCTCTCCCTTTTTTCCTTGATGAGCCTGGCTAAAGATTTATCAATTTTGTTTATCTTTTCAAAGAACCAGCTTTTAGTTTCATCTATCTTTTCTGTTGTTCTCTTAGTCTCTAATTTATTTATTTATTTATGCTCTGTTCTTTATGATTTCTTTCCTACTAACTTTAGGTTTGTTTGTTCTTCATTTTCTAGTTGCTTTAGGTGTAAGGTTTGGTTGTTTGAGATTTTTCTTGCTTCCCGAGGTAAGCTTGTATCACTATAAACTTGCCTCTTAGAACTGCTTTTGCTGTGTCCCATAGGTTTTGGCATAGTGTTTTCATTTCCCTCTAGTATTTTTTAATTTCATCTTTGATTTCTTTTTTTATTAATTAATTAATTTATTTATTTGTCTGCGCTAGGTCCTAGTTGCGGCATGCG